AAATGAGCATCTAGGCTGGTTCCATTTCCGTGCTGTTGTGAACAGAGCAGGAGGAACATGACTGGTGCATGTATCTCTCTGTGGTGAGGTGTGTGCCCAGGAGTGGAATAGCTGCATCATTAAATAAACAAACAAACAAACCTCCAAATGCGGCGATTTTCTTCATCAACAAGCCAAATACAGTGTCTTGCCAGAAACCTGCCAGAAAAATGCCCCCTGCAGACAAAGCTCTAAGCATGTTGCAGGTTTTGGCGGCCTGCCTTATACAGTGGCTTTCCGCGTGACCAGCCATAGAGAAGTCTCCTTTAAAGATTGGAAGATTCTGAGACCGCTCCCCTTGAGGAAGGAATGAAGGAATGTCTTTGGCCCTACTGGTTAGCCTGCAGGAGGATCAGTGAGGAGAGCCATGATGATGCCAGATGAACGCTTCTTTAAACGGTTCGATGGCGCCACCAAGTGGCAAAATAGTATAATACAGCCTTGGCGCCTGTACTTTAAAAAATTCAATGTGAGAGCATGGCGTGCTTGTGGAGGTCAGAGACCAACTTGAAGAGTCAGGTCTCTCCTTCCACCAATGTGAGTCTCGAACTCACATTTTCAGTAAGGTAGCAAGCACTTTGAGCTGCTGAGCCGTCTTTCCGGCCCAGGCCTGTAGATTTTCAAAGAGCAGATGCAAAGACAGTATCTTTCAGTTTGTGAACTGTGGTCACAACCACTGCTTGTAAGAGGCATCTCAGAAACAGCTTTTCTTCTGCGCGTTGGGGCTCACACTGTGGTGAGAAAAGCCCCATTCCTAAGTCTTCACACCTAACTCAAGGGCCTTGGATAAGACCATATGGTCTCTGAATGTATTCACCTTCTCTCCACTTTTTTCAAAAACTCTTCCGTGTTTTAAACATACTCTGAGAAACATAATTGTTTTCATGCTTCTTTCTGTAGCAGCTCCTAATTCAAACTGATGTCAGTCCAGCTGAAGGAAAAGTACGCTAGCGTTCTGACACGGTCCCCTGGATGACAGTAAAGGAAAAATGTCACTGCGACCTGTAGTCGTGGGTGTCCCCAGGACTCAGGGAGGACCAAGCCGTTCAGTGGGTTGTCACCACACTCAATGGGGTCAGGGGCTTAGCCTGACTAAGCCAGCGGCTTTTGTAGAGGCCCAAAGGCGAGAACGAGAGAAAACCGAAGGCCAAGCTCTAGGAGGAGGGGTTTCTTCCACAGGAAAGGATCGGGGAATGGGGTCACAAAAGGCTCAGGTCCTAAAGGAGCTGTGGGGTTACAGGCAGCTCCGGGGGAAGGTGGGAGAAGAGGGTGGGAAGGGGCGCAATAGCCTGATTTGGCCTAAGGAAACTGCAGGGTTCCAGCTCCAAGGGTGGGGGGATGGGGACGGGTGAAAAATTCAGAAATGGCCTGCCACCATCTACAATTAATGCATGAGTCAATTAATTTCCAAGTCGCCACTCAAGTGCATGTGTATTACTGGCTCAGAAACCCCGCGCTGTGGGGAAAGTTCTGGCCTTCACGTTCGCACAGGCTTCAGTTGGAGCCCCACGCCTGCCACTCTCCATGCGGCTTTGGTAAGTCGTCCTGTCTTCTCAATCTCCTGCCTGGTCAGTGCAGCACACATCCATCTCTCAAGGCTCCAGCCAGGGTTGCAGGGTGTACGTGCAGAGCAGCGAGTGTGAGCAGGCGAGACCTCAGCCTTTTAGAAGCACCTGTGCCTGCTTAAGCCGCAGTTCATCTGGAACAAAGCAGTTCAGCTCCAAGAGTAGGATTCTTCTGTCCAACGATCCCTCTGGGAGATCTACATACACATGACACAGCCACCCCAAAGCGCTGAGCACTTCCTGGGCGCTCATCAAAAGCCCCTTCCTCTCTCTCTTGGAGCACTGATCCATTGCCAGTAATCACAGGGTTAATTATAAAACTGCAGTCACATTTATCCTTGGAATTACTCTTTCTCTCAAATGCACAGTCTGTCGTCAAATGCTAACTCAACACACAAGAACCCTTGGTTTGGTTTTTCATTTCCTTGCTTGTTTATACCCCAGGCTAGCCTCAAACTCACAATCCTCCTGCTTCAGCCTCCCAAGTGTCGGGATTACCATGGTTATACCACCGTGCCCAGTTCACAGGAGCCTCTGGAAACTTGAGGCGGGAACAGTAGCTTTTTTCTTGGGCGTCTCTTGAGTAATTTCCTTTCCTCGAAGAAAGCGCCTGGCTCTTTCTGCATGTGTATATTCTTGCTGTCCGCACCTGCTGTGGTCTTGAGCTTTCTGCTCCCGCACACATCCAGCTCCCTGAGCCAATCTCATTCTCTGCTCCCGCTGGGCAGCCTCCCCTGCCTCTAAACTTCAGCGCCTCTGTGCTAGGGTATTTATCAACAGAAAACTCTTCCCCAGGTGGCTACCGGCCAGCAAGGACTGAGTGGCTGCTGTTGGGTTTGTGATTCCGAACCCCATCTCTATAGGAAGAGAACAGAGGGGGAATTAACATGTATTGAGTCTGAGCATCTATGAATCCATTTAAGCTTCCCTTGATCTACTGACTGTCACAGTACATCTTACAGGGGAAGAGACTGGGGACCTGTGCGTTGCTTGATTAAGCCAGCGTTCACTGAAGCTGGATTACCAGGCACAGGTGATGCAAGAGCAAACGTCAGGCACAGCCCCGCTCTCTCGGATTCTATAGGATCTTGCATGGGATGATCCAGGAGGCAGAAATGAAGTCGATGGACTGTTCCACTGGTGAAGAAGGGTGCTGTGGCTGTTACAGGGGGAAGACACGGTTATGCCTTCTTTTGGAGTTACAGAAGATGTCCCCCCAAACAGACATTTCACCTAAAACAAGATGCTCTTAGAATTCCTGTGGGTGGACAGTAAGGGGGCAGAAGTGAGACTTCAACATGTCTGACCCGGGTTCCAACATGCTTCGTGTCTTTCTCAGTAAATAAATACTTGCAGTGGCATTATTCCAGCTTGTGATCCACCACATTTCCTCCTCCCTAGGAGACTGTAGGTCCTTGAGAACACGAGCCCTGTCTCCTACTATGTGGTCCAATTAGTAAGCACAAGTAAATGATCCTTAGGAGTTCTGCACATGCATTTGTTTACTGGCTGTAATGCAGTAGGAAATTGCCCGTGTTTAATAAGCAATGTGAGAATACCTAGATTTCACGCTGTGTGTTATTTCTTTAACCCACACAGTGTGTATGGTTTTCACACAGCGTTCTGAGCACCAGGGCACTCCCACACTAGCTCCTTTGACTCCGGTGTTTGCTGTTTTATTGTCTGGGATGACCCAGGTCAGCATTCAAGAGATGGAGCAGCTGAGTCAGTTCAGCAGCAAGTGGAACTCAGAACTCACTCATCTAATTAAAATGACTTAGTCTTGTCTTCCCCAAATGCTGACAAGCTCAAGGCTCTTTTTCAGCCTGCAGCCCACACTGTTCTTAAAGTGAAAAAAGAACTCCCTTGTGCCAGCATTGTGAGAAAGATTGGGGAGACAACCAAGGTGAAAGCCTGTGTACAATTGCAATGAGTGTTTTTTCTTCCTGCCATTTAGTGAGTCTCAGTCTAGTGGGAACACCTCTCCAACAAGTCCACTGTGGTGATATTATGCTCCCCAAAATATTGTGCACCCTAATAAACTTAACTGGGGTCAGAGAACAGAACAGCCGCTAGATATAGAGACCAGAAAATGATGGCACACATGACTTTAATCCTAGCATTCCAGAGGCAGAGATCCGCCTGGATCTCTGCGAGTTCAAGGCCACGCTGGAAACAGCCAGGTATGGTAACAAGAGCCTTTAAGCCCAGGAAGTGATGGCAGGAAGCAGAAAGGTATTTAAGGCGTGAGGACAAGGAACTAGAGCCTGGTTAAGCTTTCAGGCTGTGAGTAGCAGCAGTTCAGCTGAGATCCATTCGGCTATGAGGACACAGAGGCTTCCAGTCTGAGGAAACAGGATCAGCTGAGGAATTAGTGAGGTGAGGTGGCTGTGGCTTGTTCTGCTTCTCTGATCTTCCACCATTGACCCCAGTACCTGGCCCCAGGTTTGTTTTTATTAATAAGACCTTCTAAGATTTGTGCCATAGTCCACATCTCCTAATCCTTCCCAAATAGTTCCACCAACTGGGACAAAATAGTCAAGCATATTAGCCTATGGGAGCCATTATCATTGAAACTAACACACACCCAGAGCCAGTACGCCTTATACAAAAGCCAAGGTGTGCATAGGTGAAAGGCATGACCACCTCCAAAGGTGGGTGGGTATGAGGTCATTCAGCCAATTGATGTCATCATGTCTGAACTGGAAAGATGAATGGCCATTAGCCAGGTAAAGAGGGCAGAGATGAGATGGGATAGGAACGGGCCAGCCTGTGCAGAGTCTCAAGGAGAAGAAAGGCTGGCACATTTGGGATCCACAAGTTCCTGTGAGAGACAGGCAGGTAATGAGCATAGGTGGACTGCGAGCTGGACTCTGGGATTTCTTCCTTTCCTCTTCCCACTTTTCTTGATTTGTACAAGATTACATTCTTCATTTTTCCCATCTTTGATTGAAACTTAGTCAAATGGAAGATGTTTTCTAGTCTACAAATAGCAACCCAAACCTGTTATCATACCAGTTGGCAAGTGGTTCTCGGCTCTCCCTGGAGAGACAATGGGGAAGAGGTGGGGAGGAACTTGGAGGCCATTCTCTGTCCACAGAGGAATGTTCTCCAATTCCAAGTGCTCAGTGGCTCCAGATCTTCCTCCCCCCCACCCCAGAAAAGACAAGTCGTTTGGATTTTGTGCAAGAGAGTAAAATATTTTAAACAGTGTCTTAGTACAAGAGAGAGCGGGAGGGAGAGAGAACTCGAGGGCACTCAGGCCTACAGACTAAATGGAACCTGGCTCAGGCTTGCAACCTTTGGTTTAAAGGTTCCGGGTAAATCCGCCCCCCATGCATATCCATATTGCTCTGCTTACTGTCCCCTAACAGGCCCTCTCTCCTTGCTTTCCAGAAAGAGATGACAACCAGGATGTGTCACTAACATTCCACCTCATCTTCCGGAAGAAAGGAGCACTGTTTCTCCCAGGAGTCCCCATGGGACAGGAAGTGGCCCTCCCCGGCTGAAACGGTCCCTACTTCCAGGAGCAGGAAAGCTGGAGCCCCACACGGACTTCTGAGAGATGTCTCCTACCCACTTCGTGCGCTCTTAACCCTCTAAGTGCTGCTAGCCAGGGCTCGTGGGCCAGGCAGACCACAGCATGAAGGACCAGCCTTGCCGCCTTAGGCTGAGGACGGTGCGGGAAAGGCCATTGCACTTCCCCACATCGTACTTCTGCCTGTGACCTGCCCCCTAGGCTTCACTGGAATTCAGGTTTTGAGACTGAGAGGTTTTTTGTCTTTGTTGTTCTTTTCCACTTATGTCTTACCAGACGTCTTGACTAACTTCTCTGTCATTTATTTTTCTAAGTACCAAGCAAATTTGGGGAATACCATATAAGCAGTACCTTTTCCTATCCCACCTCTCCTCCAGTCCCTGCGGACCGGCTCTGGGCCTGTGGCTTAACCTTGTATGGGGCTCGGAGCTGGGAGGGGCCTGCACTTCTCCTGGCAGCGTCCATGGCATTTCCCTCATAGGCGGTTTCACCAGGGACCACCCGATGGGGTGCGTGATCTGTGCCCCAGGCAGGCCATTCACATGCTCACCACTGGGGAGAGCCTGGGACTGGAAGTGAGCTGGTGCATTACCACTCGGCCCTGGTCAGGATGGATCCTAACAGTCATTTCTAAACTCTTCCATGAAGATGTACTTTCCCATTTCCCAGAAGAGAGAAAGAAAGTTACAAATGACCCCTGGGATCTTGAGCCAGATCAGTGCGGTGTTTGTTCTCCACTGAGGGGTAGTGAGTCCTGGCTACCCAGACATATCACAGTGCTAGGATTTCAGTGACAAGACCAGACAGTTGGTATTTGGTACATGGGGATCAAATACACTTGTCTTGTAGCCTCCCCAGCTTGACCCCAGAGCTTCTGAACTCAGCTGATGTTTTCTCTCCTCCCATTCTCCCTTCCTCGGATCCCTGGTTTCCCTCCCTGTCCCATCCCTTCTCTCTCCATTTCTTTATCATTCTCTCTTCTCTATGATCTCCTCTCTTTCTCCTCTCCCCACCTCTCTGTGTAGGTTTCTCTCTCTCTCCCTCTCCCCCCACCCCGCCCCATCTCCTGTGTTATATGATGACACAAAGTTCATGTCTGTCTAGTGGGTGTGCTGCAGTCGCTAAGGTCTCCCTTCTATCCGTTCAATGTGTCCCTTCCAGCAGTCAGAATAACCATTCTGTGTTATCTCCTGCCTTTGGAAGCCTTCATGAATGAAATGTTGCCTTCTCTGATTCATTCACAAAACTGTGGTTCTGACAGATTGACTAAGAAGTACTCATACTTCCCATGATATCTGACTTTAATAAAGTGTGTATTGGTGGAGGGAAGTAGATATGAATGTACTCTTGCAGTTAATGTAATAACAAAAGGTGACTAAGCTAGTCTGATGTTATTTAGTATATATTACTATGTTAAAGCCGTTTGTGACTGCCACAAAATCCTAAAAAGTGTGACTTATTTGCCTAATGATGAAAAGACTGACTGTATGGGCAGTGACATTCTACATGATGGAACTATGCTTAGAACAACCCTTACTTCCTGTCTCATGGATGTTGTCTTATGAAACCCAACACTGCTACTTCTCTGATCTACAGGAACTTTCTCTTTTCTCCCTAAGTAACCTTTAGAGACCAAGATAGGCAATTTGGCCTAAAAGCGTATCTGGCTAAGGGTCCAGAGAGACCAAGCCCTGAATTCCTGACCTAGGCAATGCACAGTAGTAACACACTTCATGGGTGTGCGGGAGGGTGGCAATGAGACATGATAGGCCATGGCCTTGGGGAGCCTCTGCTGCCTTGAACTTGACCAACTGCAGGACTCATGCGGTAGGAAGTTGAGTGTGTGCCAGCATTCCAGTAATGCTCAGCCCATGGGGAAGCCTGACTCTGAAGGCATTTGGCATTTATCTCCAGTTATTTTCTATCAATTGTTTGTGTATGTGAAATTTCTATCCAGCTTTAAAAATTCTAAATATTTTTTTAACTTCTTAGAATGATTTTTCTCTGGCTTGTATTGTTAATTGCACTAATCAGCTCTTGGAGGAAAGTCTAGACAATTGCTCTGCCTTTTTAAAGTATAAGGTGTTCATATTTCTACAGAACTTTGTTTGGCAAATTCTAAAGAAAAATCTTCCTGGGCTGTTTCTAAGCCTTTGGCCTGCCCGTGTCTTCCATACATCTGTCTTGTGAATAGGAGATCCTCACAGCCCCTAGGACAGCTCCAGGCCTGTTTCTTTCTCCTAACCTTGTTCTTGTACATTTATTTTAACTCTGGGAAAATTCACAATTGAAAGATTCCGAGCACCCTATGTCCTTTAAATGTAGCGAGTGTCAGCACATCGTCTTGTTTCTTTCTCACTGTATATGCACTCATGGCTGAACCATCAAAAAACCAAATTACAGTCATCATAAAGTTTTAAAAGACGTTATCATGCCCTCCTGTTAGCAATGAAAACATTATCCTATCCAGCTTCAGCGTCATCAGCTCCAAGAGCCTGAAACAATGTTCAAATTCTGCCTCAAAAAATTTTTTGTAGTTGACTTTTCTTTTAAAAAAATCTAGGATATAATCAAAACCTACACATTGTATTTAACTGTCTTCATTTCCACCAATAGATTATCATTTCCTCTCTCTCTCTCTCTCTCTCTCTCTCTCTCTCTCTCTCTCTCTCTCTCTCTGTGTGTGTGTGTGTGTGTGTGTGTGTGTGTGTGTGTGTGTGTGTGTGTGTTCTGTCTTTTATGACTGGCATTACTAAAGAACCTAAGTTGATTTGTTGATTTGTTTATGGGATATGCCCACATTCTAGAGGATTATATTCTTCTCATTGTGAGATTTAGGATAACATGTCGAGGGTAAGAATTTCACAATGATGATGTATTCTCCTTACATCATGTTAGAAAATGTGAATGTCTGATTGAAGATTAATCAGTGGGCTCAGGGGTTATCTGCCTGAGCCAATTCATAATTCATCATTAAACTCTGAGGTTCAACACACACACCATTTATGGAATATGAGTTCAACATGTATACTTCACTCCTTCATGTTATCAGAAGTCCACACTCCCCAACATTAAATCCTTTGCTGTGGAAGGTAAAGCAGTGTGAAAGGAGTCTGTCCTTTCCACTTAAGATGAAAAGGAGCAGGAATTTTTCATTTGCAAACAATACATAAGAATGCTGGTTCATGGAAGTGTGTATGAGCCTACAGCCAGAGGTAAAGTGTGCATGCGTGTATGCACGTGTACATGCGTGGGTGCGTGAGAGGGTGCTGTGTGTGTGTGTGTGTGTGTGTGTGTGTGTGTGTGTGTATGTGTGTGTGTGTATTTCTTTAGTGACTTCCCATTCAGACCCCTCGTTTACTCGTTGAGCTCAGCTCATATGTTATGAGACAGTGTCTCTTTACATAGTTCTGGGTATCCTGAAACTCACTCTGTAGGCCAGGCTGGCCTTGAACTCAGAGAGATCATCCTGCCTCTGCTTTCTGAGTGCTGGGATTAAAGGCATGTACCACTATATCTGACTATTCATGCATTCTTGTTGAGGGTGAGGTGACTACTAATGATTTTGGGGAGGCAAACATCTTAACTTTCACAGTAGGTTGTGCCTCTGCAAAAGAGATGATTAGGAATGAAGTATTTTTTTTTTAGATCTTGATAATTTCAAATAAACAACATATCCACAAGCCTGGGCACACTGTGAGATCACAAGCCACACATTTTTATCCTAATAGATATGGATGTCAACCATCTTAGTAAGATATTTCCAATCTGCCCTCTGGGGTAAAAGTTTGAACTTGGGATGCACTGAAGAAACAGAACATTTGTCCTCCCAATTCTGTCCCCAAAGTGACCTACAAGCACCTCCTCCAGGCCTCCCTTGCCTCTGGCTTCCTTTTAGGTTCAGCCAATTGGTGGCAGCCGGACAAAGCTCTTCCTTCAAACAATAATGGAAAGGATGGATTGAATTACTGATCTAGAGTCTTTTTCTGCTCCTTAGACTGTTGATTTGCTCTTCTTACTGCCTTTTTTGAGTGTCTTCTTACTGCTTTTTTTCAGAGCTAGGATGAATGGAAGGAACTTTAGAGATTCCTAACTTATTCTTCCTTTCTCCCAATCATGCCAGCAACATTTCAGGTAGAACCTGTTCTCCTTTTACAGATATTCAGGTATAAAAGTTCTACAGAATCCTCTGTGTGACCCACTTAAACTCCTATCTAATCTTCTATCCAACCCAGGCCACATAGTCCCCTCGAGCTCCAGGCTTTTCTCATGCCCTGTATTTGGAAGGTCCAGAGACTGTACAGCAGCAGCACATGCTTAACAAAGAACATCATTTGCACATTCATGAACTGTCTGAAGACTAACCCAGCCGTCCTTCAGCCTTCCTTCAAAATCGTCCCTGCTGAGGCATCCTCTCAGAAGTTTGCCATTCTACCATTAAGCATGTCTATAGTTGAGCTAGAAACTCCTCCAAAGCTCTCCCTGTGTCTGTGGTATAGACACTGCACACTGTGAATCTGATAAGGTATCTCATGCCTCCTCCAGACCCTGCTGTGTTTCTTCTAGTCTTGCTATAAGAGAAATCTTTGGATTTTCTTCCCTATTTTAGTTGACTATATGAAACTCTAACCAGGTTATGTTGAGCGATTCCAAATTTCCTTTCTTCCTACTGTTAACATCTTTCATCACAACACGCTGGATTTGGTTGAAATTTTCCTTAACTAGAAAACATTAAGGAATTTGATTTATGCCAGTCCACCATTTACCCAGTCCATTGTCGCTGGTGAAAGCACATCATTTCCAATCTCTTAGCCTAAATGATACCATGCTAAAAAAAAAAAAAAAAAAAAAGAAATACAGCATGTCTTCAAGAAATGGCAGAGGCATCATTTGGATAATAATGTCATTCTGGCTTTGATTATTTTGACTTTAATTCCTGTCTAGAATTAGCCAAACAAAGTATATTTTGGAAGTAATGATTTTTTTCCTGGTTTTAAAAATGTTTATTAAAAAAACTTTTATAACAAGCTATTTTCCTCTGGGCAATATTAAATATGGGTAAAAAATTTTCAATGATATGTAAAAATTTGTGTAACATAGAAGGTGAGTCATTTCTAATGAAGCAAGCTATTTTACTAGCTTCTAGTATTCTACTTTCCAAGTTTTCCTGTTTCTTTTTTAAGTACATCTGAAAAATGTTAACTATATTTTCATTCCATTTGTGATTCAGTTAAGGGTTTGACTGTAAGAAAGCAGACTAACATAATTAAATCAATTAGAAGAGCTAGATAAATCTAAAGAATATTTATGGAATAAATTTGTGTGTGAGCTTAAGGATTCAAATGTCATGAATAAAAGCTATATAGCCACCTTCTAGTCTGTCTTCTTTACATGCCTAATTTATTTAACAAATAGTTCGCCAGCCTGCAGTGTCCTGGCAAAGGGTTAATAAAAGGGAAATGGTTAATTTTATAAAAACGAATTCAAAATTTGTTTCAATGCACACATGGACACATTCAAATTTTAACTAAATCCCTTTATCCTATTTCAGTTTTCCAATAAGACAGTAAGTATATAGTTTAGCTTCCCAGCAGACTAGTGTCCTTATACACATTTTCTTGCCATAGAATTTAATGTTAATTTGATGGTGGTCTGATATATAAAGATGTTAGGTCTTTGCATGGCCTCCAGGACTTGGACCTGACTGGGGTGGTGAGGAAATGAAGAAAGAACAGGTATACCCACAGAGAGAAAGGCTGGAACTGGGTAGACTGGGCTCTCTGATGGAGAAACCACAGCACATGGTTCCCAGAGTTAGAGCCTGTGACAGTAGAGAGAAGACATGGCAAAAGGTGACTGGTCCCAGCAGCAGCTGGGAGCGCCCACTTCTTTAGATTATAACAGTTCTCCCTTTCCTCTCTCCAAACTCCCATATACATATGGAGATATATATACATATATATGTGTATATATATATATATGTATATATATATACACATATATATCCCTTCTCACTCTCCTTCAAATTCATGACCTCTTTTTTGACTAATTGCTATTGCATGCATATATATATATATATATGGATACACATATACATTCCTAAATATAACCTACTCAGGCCATATAATATTACTTGCACACATATTTTCAGGGCTGACCATCAGGCACTGGACAGCCAATTCGTGTGCTCTTCCCTGGAGAGGACCACCTCTTCCACTTCCAGCTTTCCTCAGTTCCCTGTAGTTCTTTGTATAGGGTTGAGTGAGGCCTTGTGGGCTTTTCCTCATCCACTTTGGCATGTCCATTAGTGTCTCCCTTGTTTAGCTCACATTTGGACAGTCCTGTTGGTGATACTTTATGGGTATATTTTCTGACATTACTAGGAGGCACAATCTCACAATAACTACCTGATCCTCCTGACAATCTTTTTGCCCCCTCTTCCAGAGTGTTTCCTGAACTTTCAATGTCGGAGTATTGTGTAAATGTATCCATTGGTACTGGGCCCCACAACTGCATATTGATTGGTTGTGGTTTTCTGTGGTGGTCTCCATCTGTTACAAAGAAAAGTTTATTTGGTGAGGGATGAAGACACACATATCTGTGGATATAAGGACAAATGTTTATAGGTTGTCGTCACAGATTGTACTGATTTATTAAATTAGTGGTTTTAGATTCTCCTCCAATAACCATGACTTCACTAGCACTAGCCTCGTTAGCTAGGTTTCCAGGCATGATTTCCCTCTTGTTGAGCAAGTCTTAAGTCCAACTAGAGAGCCTCTGGTTACCGCCGAGGTGTGTGTACCACTACTGTGCCCTTAGGGTTCTCAGGCCATGCTGGTCATCAATGTGGTTCATAGTTCTCAAAGCTGGATTGAACTGTTAGTTGCCTCCTTCCTTTGGAAGCTTGCATGGTACCTTCTGGTACCATGAAAGCTAGTCCTCATGGAGGGGTCATTCAGGTCAGTTCCAGTGCAGGGGTTTCTGGGCCCTCTGTCTGAAGTACATAGTGTCTTCAGCAATAGGGACTTACCTTCCACCCCTACGTAGGCAGCCATGGGCAATAGCAATAGGCTGTATGTTTTGGAGTCTCTTGGACAGCCCTGGACAACAACTCAAAAGAGGGCTTTTCACGCCTGGTGTCAGGTCTTAGTTTAGTCTTCAGCTCTTGAAGGGAACACCATCAGCCTAGATGAGAAAAGCTCATTTAAACTATATATTATGTTCCTTAGGGCTTTTTCAGAGATTGTTTATATTTTTCTCACCTCCTTCCTTCTGTATTTACTTCCTTTCCCCTCCCTAAAAAGCCTCCCTCCCCACAATCAGATCAGTGCTATCCCCCCCGCTTTATTGCTCCTCGTCCCCCTTATTCAGGCAGCGGTCCCATTTTCCTTTCCTGGTTTCTGTAGTTATTATAGGCCATACTCACATCTGTAGATTTGAAGCTGGGGGCTTCCAGTGAGAAAGAAGGTGCAACATTTTTCTTTCTGGGTCTGGGTTACTTTATTCAATATGGTCTTTTCTAGTTCCATTCATTTACTTGCAAAGTTTATCATTTCATTTTTTCTTTACAGATGAATAGTATTCCATAATGTATATGGGCCACATTTTCATTATTCATTCATCAGTCGTAGGACATTTAGGCTGTTTCCATTTCCTAGCTATTGTGAACACAGCATCAATGAATATGGCTGAGTAAGTATCTGTGGAGTAGGATGTCAAGTCCTCCGGGCAGATGCCAAGGAGTGGCACAGCTTGGTTGTATGGTAGGATATTTTTAGATTTTTGAGGATTCACTCTGATTTTCATAGTGGCTTTACCAGTTTGCAATCCCACCAAGAGTGAGGAAGAATTCTCCTTTCCCTACAACCCCTCCAGCATTCTGTCAGCTATTTCATTGATCTTCGCCATTCTAAGACTTGGGTAAGATGAAATCTCAAAGTTGTTTTCATTTAATTTCCCTAATTTCTAGGGGTTATAAACACTGAGATATTTCTTAGCTATGTTTTTTCTTCTTTTGAGAACTTTCTATGCAGGTCCTGGGTCCATATTTAAAATGAGAACTTTCTATGCAGGTCCTGGGTCCATATTTAAAATGAGAACTTTCTATGCAGGTCCTGGGTCCATATTTCAAATGAGTCATTTTCTTTCTTTCACTCTTTTTGTTTTTTTTTTTTTTTGAGTTCTTTTATATTCCAGATATCAATCTTCTGTCAGTGTATAACTGGCAAAGACTCTCCCCCATTCTGTGGTCTTCTTCACGGGGTTGGTTGTTTCTTTAGGTGTCCAGAAGCCTTTTAGTTTTACAAAGTCCCAGCTGTCAATTGTTGGCCTTAATTTTGGGGCAAATGGAGTTTTATTCAGAAAGTCCTTTCCTATATCACATAAGGTATTGCTTGTGTTTTCTTCTAGAAGTTTCAGTGTTTTCAGTTTCATGTTTAGGTATTTGATCCACTTGGAGTCAGTTTTTGTGCAAGATGATAAATATGCGCCTAATTTAATTCTACTGCATGTGGATATCAAGTTTTCCCAGGACCAGTTTTTGAAGATGCTTTCTTTGGGATATATTTTTGGTGTCTTAGTCAAATACTAAGTGGCTAACGTTACATGTGCTCACATTTTGTTCCACTGGGCTGGGGTGTGGTTCAATTGTTAGAATGCATGGGTAGCATGTATGAGGCTCTACCTTGGATCTACAACACTCCATAAGCTGGGCATGGAGGCTCATGCTTATAATCCCAGCATTGTGGTGTGGGGATGGAGGTCAGAGGATCAAAAGTTCAAGGTCAGCTGGACAATAGTGGTGCACACCTTTAACTGGGGAGACAGAGGCAGGTGGATCTCTGTAAGTTTGAGGCCAGTCAGGACTGTTACACAGAGAAACCCCATCTCTGAGGGGAAAGAAGAAGAAGAAGAAGAAGAAGAAGAAGAAGAAGAAGAAGAAGAAGAAGAAGAAGAAGAAGAAGAAGAAGAAGAAGAAGAAGATCAATATCATCCCTGGCTACAGAATTAGTTCAAGACCAACATGGGATATATGAGATTTTATCAATAAAGAAAAAAAGAAAGGAATGTATAAGAGGTAGATTGTTGTGGTCCATTTTTGATATGATGTGTGCTTAGAGTTCATCAGAGGTACAGACAGACAGGAGGTATTGGCCCCTTCCTCCTCTAGCTAGCACCTAGCACCTGCTTGTCTCAAGACTCTGAGATTTAGAAAGTTCGATGTGACTAAGCCCAGCGTAGGCAAAGGGGGCTGGCTGCCTCAAGCTCCAAACTGTTCAATGAATGGGGCTTTGTGTCCTAGACCAATAAGATGAGGAGTTTGGGGAGGATGCAACTTCTGGCCTATAGGAGAAGAGGACAGAAACTTCTGATCATAAGATTTTAAATACCACTGCCTGGCTCCAGATCAGTACACCAGAGGTCATTTTTTTTTTTTTTTTACTTTTTCTCTGTACTCTCGTCCTGTTCTCCAGAGTTATATAACAAAAGTGCTTCACTTGCCCTAGTCTTTTGAATTTGTTATTGCCTTATTTCCAACAAGGGAAAGAATAAAGGGAGGGAAGGAAGGTAAAGAAAGACAGTGAAGCAACTATTTTACCTCCTTTCTCTGTAGTCTTGAGAAATTTCTCAGAAATTCATGATTTCCACAATGCATCTGGAACAGTACAAGCCAGTAAGAACTTTTAATACTTATGAAGAATGGAGTTCAGAATCATTTAGTTGATCTTCATCTCCCTCCTCTCCTCCAGTTCCTCAATATTATCCCCAACTTAGTAGCAGACCATCTGCTGCACCCTCTCTGCCCTCATCCCCAGGGGACTAGCAGATATTCTTCTCCAGTGTCTCTCCCATACCAGATCCCTTTGTCTCAGGTGCCAACACCAGGAGGCACTCCCGGGAAACCTGCTGGCCACACTCACCGTGGAATCAGGTAGGCATCGTCACTCTCCCTCCTGTCTTCCAATTCCAGTCCCCCAGTCTTGTCCCTTCTTTTGTAGCAGACTACCAGATGTAGCCTCTCCTCTGCCCCCGTTCATAGGAGACTACCCGTATCGTCTTGGCATACCCAGCTTTCCTCCTTCCTGTGGCCCCCTCAGCACTCCTCCCACAGCCCTTCCCCACTCCTTCCTGTCACTTTCCAATACCTAGAAACACTTGCTACACAGAACCCCCAGTGGCCACACCTGGCAGAGCCTCAGAACCACTATCTACCAGGCAAACCACAGCCACCACATTCTCCTAAGATCCAGAGAGGGCAACAAAAACCAAGAAGCAGAAAACCCACTTAATAAAGACAAAATCAGGTATCAACGCCTACAACTGCAATCATTCCAAACCCAAATGCCTACACACCAGCATTAAAATACAA